CATACATACATACATACATACATACATACATACATACATACATACATACATAATATTTTCTAAAAGAAGTTTGTATATGAATTTGCATGACATTTTTTCAAAAATTACCCAAAATGCATTTTTTATTATTTTAATTATCATCCAGACCTTATCATTATCATTGTACGCCAACAAATTGAGTAATACTAGTTAACAAAGCATCCTTTTTGTCCTGACATGTTCAATTTTCATGTCTGGAGCACAAATGGGGGAATCCTTTAATGAAAATGTCTTTTTACCATTTTAATGGGACTGAGAGGCATGTACTTAAATTTACCATTAGAATGCATAGAATGCAACAGTCTTTCTTTCAGGTGACACTCTTCCTGAGAGGCTGCCATGGGGGTTCTTTTCTCCAATCATAGATGGAAGGAAGGAACAGCAGAAGAGCGATTCTGTTATAATATTTTATAAGGATGCAGGGCTACTTATACTCAATATTGCACAGGTGGTAGTTGCTCTTCATTTGTACTATAAAAATGTTGAGTGGGGTTTTTCAGTTATGCAGAGCCCATGGACCAAAGAGAGGAACCAGCTTTCCATTGAATCATTTAACAGGGATATTGCTTGTTTATATAGACAAAAACAGATACTTTAATGGTTATTCATTGAGCAAATAAATACCAATACATAGATTAGCCTTACAAAAAAGATGGACGGACAGAAAAGTAGGATAGCAATGAAGAACAAAAGACAGAACTATAAATATCTGTTTGTTAACCCAGTGTGTTTTGTGAGAATGTTACTGTTCATGTCATTGTTTTTATAAGAATGCTAAATATTGCTTTATGAAAAGAAAATAATACTTATTTATGGGTAAAGTAATTTTATGTATTTATTTATTTGTCCAGTACGACACAAAAAGTAAAAAGCTTTTATTTTGAAGGGTTAATTCTCTTACACAATGGAGTCATTATTTCTTACACTTTTAAACTGTAGAGATTTTCAGGTTATTTTTTGTTCTTGTTGACTTAAGCCTATTTTAAGTTTAGTTATTGTAAATATCCTTTATAACCACAAAGAAAAGAAAACTCTAAAAATGTAACAATTTGAGTGTAAAAAAAGTATTTTAGGACACTTTAAATGCACAAGTCTTCTTTGCGGCAAATAAAAACATCTTTGCAAATCCAGCACCCTTCTTTTATGGTTATTACAGGTGTTCAGCATGTTGTCAAACTTATTTTCACAATTTGACATGGGTAAACACCAAAGTAATTTCTCACTTTAGGCTTAAAAATGTCAGCCTACTACCTTTTCTTTTCTCCCACAGAATTGTGTTCATCCTGTAGCTGTAACCTTGCTTAATTTTGTGCTCTGAGCCTAAAGACAAGGAGAAGGCTCACTTCCAATCATGTAGTTGTAAGAAGTTTTTTTTTTTTTGACCTACATGAAATGTATGGTAATACCATAGTACTGTTCCAGCATTAGTGATGGCAACATACAATCACTTATCCTTTCACAATAAGCATATAGTGAATGAGCAATATGAAAGGTGGTAGGATGAATTTCCCTGAGTAACATTTTTAAAAGAAAGTTTTAAATTGTTGGAGTCATCATACCACAGCCAAGTGCACAGCCTGAATAATCACAAAATCCCTACAAGTTAGAGATAAAAAAAAAAAAAGTTATAGTAATTGGGTGTGTTTTGTTGGAGCAGTGGTTGGGGCATGCAACCCATGTATGGAGGCCTTGGTCCTTGACGGGGCGACCCAGGTTTGAGTCCAGCCTGTGGTCCTTTCCCGCATGTCTCTCGCCCTCTCTCATACCCCTTTCCTGTCAGCCTACTGTCCATAAAAACGAGCCACTAGTACCATTAAAAAAAATACACATTTTTTACAGTAATACTAATAAAGACACTATCTCAGCTGTTTGAATGTTTTATATTCAAACTTTTAAAGGTCTGCATATTATGACTAGTGGATAACAAATGTAGTTTGAGGCTCTACAGAAAAAAACCTATTGTTATTTAAATCTTATAGCTCACACAGGAAAAAGAACAAAACAACTACAATAGGTGATATTATCTTTGGTATTTTGCAGTGACTAAATTAATAATTGTCAATAATGTTTCCTCTTGACCTCCGGAAAATTTTAACAAGACAATGACTATCAGATGAGGTACAGAAAGTAGCTTTCAACAACAATGATTTATCTAATCACAAAGACAACGGGAGAACAAGTGCTACTATATATGATAATTGGTACTCTGATAAATGGACATCAGCTACAAAAGAACTTGAGCAGCGTACTAAAATGTATGGTAGCAGCTTGTAGTTACTAAATTGGAGTAAATGTCAGATGCTCTACTTAGGTGCAGTTGTGACACTGAGAAGCAGCCAGTAAAAGTCCAAATATTCTACAGAGATGGAGAAAACATACAGGAAAAATACAATTTTTTAACAGGGTAGTGAATCTTAAGTAGGTTTTTGATTTTGCTGTCGGAACTTTAAATAACGAAGTTAATTTCATGTATTTTTCTAATCTGCAAAGAAAACAAGAATTCAGTAATCACTGCTTCAGCTTTCAATAATCGTCTTTTTCTTTTTTAACAAGTTTATGTAGTTATTGTTGTCTGATTTTTGCAATCAGGCACTGTCTTCGAAAGGATTTGTTTCCAACAGCAAGAAGGCGTACTTAAGAGGGAGTTGGGGCAACAGAAAATTGCTAGAAACAAAGTGAAACTCTTGTGCTGTAAATTGCAATCAGACCTGCTATTTTCATGTTAGAAAGAAAGGAAAAGGGCAGGAGAGACTTCAGGCAAGTATAGAACAAATTAAACCAAATGAACAGGGGCCGCTTGTGTTTTAGAAGAGTTCTTCCAATAAAAACGACAACCTTTATTTACCCAAATAAACCAAACTGAGATCCAAACTCTATTTTTCAAGAGAGATCTTGGAGAGTAGGTATTATCTTAGTTTTTTCTAAATGCTGCATTTTACACCTGCATATCATATCTAAAAG